ATAAACTAGAAATAAATTAAAAGACTAACTTTTAAAAAAGGAAGTAAAATCTAATTATTATAAAAGAAACTAAAAACTAAAGACTTCTAAATTAAAACTATATAACTAAATAATAAGCTAAACTATAAAAAACTAAAATTATTTTAAATTAAATAAAAAATTTTAAAACTTAATTATAAACTAAAATTACTAAAAAAAATAAAAAGATATCTAATTTTCTATATAATATTACTTAAACTAGTATATAATAATATCCTTATAAAAGAATCTATAATAATTAAACCTAAAGAAAATATTTAAGAAGCTAAGAAAATTCTTAATTCTATAAAAGATAATAAAGGAGTTAAATATTTAATTAAATAGAAAAATTTTAAATATAGTAAAAATACTTAAAAACCTATTAAATACTTAGTAAGAAGCTAGTAACTTCTTACTATATTTTACTAGAAGAACCTAGATTAACTAAGAGACCTAAATCTAAAAAATTATCCCCTAAACCTAATAAAGACTAGTTAATAGAATTAGAAACCTTAAAAGACTAAAGATCTTCTATTATATAGGACTCTTAGATAGAAAGGTAGATATTATCTTCTTTATCTAAACCCTAGATCTCTTATCTAAATATTTCTAAGTTTTTTACTTTAATATTTTTCTTTAATTAATAGATATATATTAGCTAATTTACTATTATTAATAGTTATATCTAAAGAATAAATAATACTTTCTCTACTTTAACTTCTTCCTTCTTTAATTTCTTTTACTTTTATAGGAGATAAGTAATTAAGGGAGTAGTTAGTAATTAAATAATATTAAAAGAAATAGGAATTTATAAATAGAAGTTATAAAAACCCTATTATATAATCTATTCTATTATATATACTCTATATACTAAAAAGACCTTTTACTTATTATATATACTTTATTATTTTTAAAATAATATATATATAGTATTTTAGTTTTAGTATCTAATAATTTAATTATATTAGCTAAGTTTAAATAGTTATAAGAAGATTTAGAAAGAGATCTATAAGTATAATTAGGTATAGTAATAATTATAAAATATTTTAAAGAAGTAAAAAAAGAAAACTTATAAAATAAGAAACTAATAATTAAAAGGCTTACTTATAAGTCTTTAAAAATAAAGATTAAAAAAGGAGAAGTATTATATTATAGCTATATCT